TAACCCAAGACTCGCGATAACATTGTCCGGGAGGGAAAGGGGGACGGGGCGCAAGGTGAGTTTCTGCGCCTGAGTTCCGGAAACCGTGCTCCTCAGCGACAGCCTCTGTATTTGCGGTCACTTGTGTTTTCGCCGATGCCACTTTCCCTTGGCATGTGTTGGCTAAGTACAAAGATTTCCACCTCTCGAGTTTGCTTTTTCGACCCCTTTCTTTCAGTATCTCTCCATAAATAGGAGAAAAACCAAAAGCAAATTTATTTAAAGATAAAATAAAAGCCTTTATTAAACGGTTTTGAAAACAGTTCATTTAAACCTTTCTCCGTGAAAAATGCAGATAAGACAATACTTTAAAAGGGAGCCTGTCTCTCACACACTGTTGGGGAGGATGCAAAACCGCACTGTTTCTAGTGCTAAATATTTATACAATAAACAGACTCAAAGTATATGATGTTAATGCAAAAATTTAATACGTTTGAAATTCATCATTACTTTAGAGTTGGAATGGCAAAATACAATGGCAAAAGCCTGGAAACAACTCAAACGGAAGAGTGGATGAATACACTGATATATATTCACAATATCACATATTACAAAGGAGTCAAAATGAATGAACTACAGCTCTTCACAACATGGATGAATCTTAGAAGTATACAACTTTAAAATGTTGCACTGCTAAGAGCCAGCTTGAAGGGGCTCCTGGCCAAATCACAATTTGAGGATCAAGATAAACAATGATAATAATGGATTACAATCCATTGAATAAAATAGGAATACACAAGTTCACATTGATATAAATAAATGAAGAGAAAGGAAAGCTCTTTCTAACAAACAGTAGAATGCCAACCCAATAATGGAGAGGAAATGATGGAAATAGAGAATTACCATTTGGCACCAACTATAGAAGTGGATGATTTAGACATGAGTCTTCAGTGGTAAGATTGGTGTGTGGAGGTTTGATGAGGAATAGGATACTGGCATGATTTTGGAATACTAATCAATTACAAAGGGAAAAACAGTGAATTTAAGAAACCAGCATGATCAAGTGATCAAGGTTAACATCACCAGTGTCGGGAGGAGTCTACATTTTGTGCCTCCTGATGAGACTCACTGGGAAAAGCAAAGCATCATTTTGTGGTACTCCTGCAAACGAGGCACCTCGGTTGTAAGCCGTCCTGTAGAAACTAAGGTCTGTACCCTTTAATAAAACTGTCAAGGCCATGAAAGACTGGCAACTCTTGCAGATTAAAGGAGTCTGAAGATACACAACGACTAAATGCAATACTTATTCCTGTATAGCATGTTGACCCAGAAAGGAAAAGAAACATTGTTGGGATAGTGGGCGAACTTTGAATGGGCTTAGTAGATTGGGTAGTAGTGTTGTACCAATACTGATTTCCTGGTGTGGAAGATTGTTTGCTGTTATGTAGAAGAATGTCCCTGTTTGGGGGAAAATACCAACTGGAGTGTTTAGGAGTGATGGGACATCATGACTGCAGTTTGCTCTCTCAACCCTCAAAAGTTTCAGAAAAAGACTAATAACAAAGGATATATGTGCACACACACATACTCAAGAGTGAGCAATGAACCAATAACATGTTAACTATATGAGAATCTGGGTGAAGAGGAAATAGGAGCATGGGAGTTCTTTGTACTGTTCTGGCAACTTTTCTATACATTTGAAACTATTTCAAAAGAAATTATTAAACTATACACACACCCACACACTACTCCCCATGGAAACTCTTTGCTTAGGATACAATTACCAGAGCCAAAATTTAAAAACAAATTGTATTTCTGCTAATAAACATATTAAAATTATAAAAATTAAGAAAAAGATTTTTTTTAATTGCAGTGTTATAAGTCATAACAGTTCTCAAAATAAAACTATGCAACTGTTGAGTAAGGCATTTCTCTCTGGATTTTTTCCCCAGTGAGGGTTGTGAGTGAATCTGCGCTGAAATAACTATCCTACCTTGTGCACACATACCTTTTTTTTTCGCTGTAAGGCTTGCAGGATCCTAGTTCCCCGAATTTAAAAATGGGTATTTGAATAGACATTTTTCCAAAGAAGATACACAAATGGCTAATAAGCTCAAGAAAATATGCTCGTTAGTCATTAGGGAAGTGCAAATCAAAACCGCCGTGAGATGCCACTTCACATCCACTAGGATGGCTATATTCAAATAGACAATGATAGTGTTGATAAGAATGAGGAGCAATTGGAAGCCTCATTCATTGCTGGTAGGATCGTAAAATGGCGCATACAGCTGCTGTGGAAAATAGTCTGGCAGATCTTCAAAAGGTTAAACATACTCTCTCTGTGTGTCTCTTTCTTCCCCCCAACACTTTCTTAGTCTCTTTCTCTCTCCCTTTTTTTTTTCAGTCTCTTTGAATCTTTCAGTCTCTGAGTCTCATTTTTAAAACTGCTCTTTTAGAACGGGAAACGGTTCAGGTCCTGCTGTGGCATGGGGCTTATGTCTCAGTCACGTCTGCTGTGAAGCACACGATGCTCTATTTATTGTAGAAAGTGACTTTATTTGCTTTCTAGAATTGTTTGTAACAGATGGTATAAGAGAGGTAATAAAGAGAAAAATCTATGCTTGTAAAGAATACAAAAGTTAGTTTTACTTACTGTAATATGACTATCTTAAACTTATTTTCTGAGAAATAAATGTTCTAATGAGCAGCAAAAAAAAAAAAAGTTAAACATAAAAATACTGTATGTACCAGCAATTCCACTCATAGTACTATAGCCAAGAGAATTGAAAACATGTGTCCACAGAAAAACTTGTACATGAATGTTCATAGCAGCATTATTCATAATGGTCAATAGGTGAAAACAACCCAAATGTCCATCAATTGATAAATGGACAAGCAAAATGTATATCCAACAATGGATTATCCAGCCACAAATCAGAATGAAGTATTGATTCACGCTACTACACAGGTGAATCTTAAAAACAGTATGCTAATTCAAAGAAGCCAGACACAAAGGGCAATGCATTGTATGATTCCATTCATATGAAAAGCCCCAATAGGGAAATTCAGAGAGACAGAAAGTAGATTAGTGATTCCCAGGGGCTGGGCAGGAGGAGGGGAAAGGGGGAATGACTGCCAATGGGTATAAGTTTTCTTTTTGGGTGATGAAAATGTTCAAAAATTGATTGTGGTGATTGTTGCACAAATGCATGAATATCCTAAAAACGACTGAATTGTACACTTTAAAAGGATGAATGGTATGATATATGAATTATATCTCAATTTTAAAAAATAATTAATTAGTTATGTCTGTGCTGGGTCTTCACTGCTGTGTGCGGGCTTTCTTTTTATTTGCAGCGAGCAGGGTCTACTCCTCACTGCGGTGCGCAGGCCTCCCATTAAGGTGGCCTCTACTGCTGCGGAACATGGGCTCCAGGCGTGTAGACTTCAGCAGTTGTGGCACATGGGCTCAGCATCTGTGGCTCGAGGGCTCTAGAGCACAGGCTCAGCAGCTGTGGTGCACAGGCCGAGCTGCTCCACGGCACGTGGGCTCCTCCCGGACCAGGGCTTGAACCTACGTCCCCTGAATTGGCAGGCGGACTCTTAACCACTGCACCACCAGGGAAGCCCTCAATTTTTAAAAGTTTAAAAATATATAGCTCATATCTTTTCTTTCCCTAGTACCTTACACCCCTCTTTCTCACCTTTACCAAATCCCATCACTGTTACTTTTCCAAAACCTATATCAAAAATCTATCTTAGGGCATCCCTGGTGGCGCAGTGGTTGAGAGTCCGCCTGCTAATGCAGGGGACACAGGTTCGTGGCCCGGTCCGGGAAGATCCCACATGCCGTGGAGCGGCTAGGCCCGTGAGCCATGGCCGCTGATCCTGCGCGTCCAGAGCCTGTGCTCCGCAACGGGAGAGGCCACAACAGTGAGAGGCCCGCGTACCGCAAAAAAAAAAAAAAAAATCTATCTTAGCCAGTGATCCTTCTACCTATGTATCTTGCTTTTGCCCTGCGCTACAGTTGTACAGAGGTCTACCTCTCTAAGAGTAAAGTTGTGTCTTATACCACCTTGTATGTATGTCCCTTGGTACTTACACAAATGTTTATCGCAATATAATTGATAATTACTATTCTCCCCCTCAATGTTTAGTACAATCATTCACCAGATCTGTATTAAATATCTGCTTTGTACCGGGGAGCTCAACACAAAGAACAAATAGGGTTATTACCCTCGGCAGAATTTATAATCTAACATTTACAATTTCCTTGTACCCTAATTTTTGTTTAGAACCCCCACCAGATTACAAACCTCCTTCCTTTGTAATGATACTTTCCCTAACCTACTGTAATGCTCAACATACTCGATAAGTAATTGCTCAGTACTGGGAATAAAGCCAGGTTTGAAATCACTGACTCCCTGAACTACTTCTCCAAAGAGCTAGTATTCAATCTCCCAGGAAGATGATTTAAGCCTCGTTTATTCATTAATTCAGCACCTCTTATGTGTCAAGCTTCACTGTCTTGAATCATGATTAAACTGCAACTAAAATTAAAGTCTTTCACAAATTTTTTTAAAAAATCAAGGGCCAATAAAGATCTCTAGGCAGTCTCAGTAGACGTAAAAGTAGGCTATATATTTTATGCACATAAACACATAATCCCTTTTTTAAAAGTTATTACAGGCAATACTAAACTATTTTCTATGTGGGAAGTTTAGTGTTTATGAATATAGAATACCTATTTATGTAAAGTAAGATGCAAATTGCTCTTCTAGGTCAAAAGAGCTGAATTTTTAAAAAAAAATACAGTTTTGACATATTACCAACTATAACTGTCCAATGGAAGGCAAGGGTTTTTTTTAATTCAATATTTATTCAAATTTATTCAATATTGAATTTTTTATTCAATATTATTACACAGAATTACAGACTGTTGTGACTTTTATTCAATTTGGTATCCTATTTAGAATAAGAGCAGTGAGAATTATGCTTTACAAACATTGCATTATTCATCATTGTGATATGGCTTTACTTGATCGTATACAGAGAAAAAAATAACATTGGAATTAAGGCAATAACCACATGTGCAAACCAAGCACAATACCCTGACACAGTCTTTAGTAAAAAGCTCTTTTGGTTAGGTGAGGATTGATGTTGCTGCATGCAGGTCAGTCATTGCTTTGAAGGATAAGCTCTGAATAGCTTCACTCATTTAAAAAAAAAATCTCTCCTACTGGCCCACAATGGCCAGAAGAAGCCTTCGGTAATCTCCACTCGTATCACTTGCAATCCTTGTGCTCAGGGTCTTCTGATACATCTGACTGAACATCTGTTTTATTTGTACAAGATCAATCTGCATGCAAGACATGATATTTTTGATATTAGAAAACAGCTGTTAAAGAAAACTGATATTAGAATTATTCTTTAATAGTGAAAAGATCCTAATTATAACCAAAGCAGAGGGGAAAAAACACCAGATGACCGGCATTTTATAGCTAGCATTCATACCAGTACTAGCGTCACCCAGTGAATGTCTGATTCACTGTTCTGTAAAGATATTGAATAAGGGTGATACTAGTTTCATCTACTATTCCAAATATATTAGTCATTTAAAAACCATTTGATAGAATGGCTATTATCAAAAACACAGAAAATAACAAGTGTTGGCAACGATGTGGAGAAGTTGGAACTCTTGTACATTGCTGGTAGGAATGTAAACTGGTGCTGCCACGGGAAAATGGTATGGTAATTCCTCAAAAAAATAAAATAAAAACAGAATTACCATATAATACAGCCATTCCACTTCTGGGTATACACAAAAGTGAAAGGAGAGACTCAAAATTTGTACACCCATGTTCACAGCAACATTAATCATAACAGCCAAAAAGTGGAAGCAACCCAAGTGTCCATTGACGGATGAATGAATAAACAAAAAGTTGTGTATGCACACAATGGAACATTATTCAGCCTTAGAAAAGAAGGAAATCCTGACACATGCTACAATGTGGATGAACCTTGAAGATGTTTAAAAGGACAAATACTGTATGATTCCACTTATATGAAGTATCTAGAGTAGTCAAATACATAGGACAGAAAGCAGAATGGTGGCTGCCAGGAGTTGGGGAGCAAGGAGAATGGTGAATTATTGTTTAATGAGTTTTCAGTTTTGTAAGGTGAAAAAGTTCTGGTGGTGATGGTTGCAGAACAATGTGAATGTACTTAATGTCACTGAACTGTACACTTAAAAATGATTAAAATGGGAATCTTGTGTTACGTATATTTTATTATAATTAAAGAAAAAGGGATCCTGCTTAGAAAATTTAAGTCTAAAAACAAATACACAAGAAGGTTTTTCCAAATACTGTATTATGATTCTCTTTTAAAAAATGATTTACCTTCTTTCATATAATTTCATAGCATATGTTTTCTTTTGATTAAAAAGAAGTCCACTAAATAAACAAAGTCAAAGAAAGGAATACATCTGAGGCTATATTTAGGTAAAAAGATAAATATAAAATTTTTTACAGTTATTTCATAATTAAGTGTATGCTAAATTTTAAGAATTTTTATGTCCAATGGGATTAATCTGCATAGGTCTTTCATACAGTTCTTTTTTTTTCCCCCCGCACCTCGTGGCTTTCAGGATCTCAGTTCCCCGACCAGAGATTGAACCCAGGCCATGGCAGTGAAAGCGCCAAATCCTAACCACTAGACCACTAGGGAACTCCCTCATACAGTTTCTTACATAAGCAAAATGAAAACCAAACAATAAACATCTGGAGTTCCCTGGCGGTCTGTTTCACTTAAGCAAGCCTCTCTCACAGCATGAGGAAAGTGAACACTGTGCTTTATACAACCGCTACCAGCCGTGAGAAAGAGAGCCCTTTCTTAATGTCAGTCCTGAGGGATTGACAACCAACTAAGGAACTTTTAAGAAATTAACATTCTAAGTCAGACAGAGAAAGACAAATACTGTACAATTTTACTTATATGTGGAATGTAAAAAAACAAATGAACGAACATAACAAAACAGAAACAGTTATAGACACAATGAACAAACAGGTAATTGCCAAAAGGGAGGGGGTTGGGGGAAGGAAAGAAATAGGTGAGGGAGAGTAAGAGGTACAAACTTCCAGTTGCAAAGTAAGTAAGTCACAGGTATGAAATGTACAGTGTGGGGAATATAGTCAATAACTACGTAATATCTTTGTAAGGTGACATGTCATAACTAGACTTATCATGGGGATCCTTTTGAAATGTATAGAAATATCGAGTCACTATGTTGTATAACAGAAATAAGCACAGTATTATAGGCCAATTATACTTCAAAAATGAACAAACTCATACAAAAAGAGATCGGATTTGTGGTTACCAGAGGTGAGGGGTTGGAGAGGGAAGATTGGAGAAAGACAGTCAAAAGGTACAAACTTGCAGTTATAAGATAAGTAAGTACTAGGTATATAATGTACAACGAGATAAATATAATTAACACTGCTTTACATCATACATGAAAGTTGTTGAGAGTACATCCTAAAAGTTCTCTTCACAAGGGAAAACATCTTCCTTTAATCTTGTATCTATATGAGATGATGGATGTTCACTAAACTTACTGTGAAAATATTCATGATGTATATAAGTCAAATCACTATGCTGTATACCTTAAACTTATACAGTGCCGATTATAAACTTATACAGTGTCAATTATATCTCAATAAAACTAGAAGAAAAAAATGTTTTTAATACTGCTAAGAAAAAAGGATCAACATTCAAAATCAAGTAAGATCAGACAAACAGAGAAAGCCTCACCTCACTTCGAGTGACCACAATCCTGACCAGGGTGGAGTCATCTGTGCCGGCACCTTTCATAGAATAGTACAGCCTCTCAGCGAAGAAGGCAGGGCGGTTCAGGGCACACTGCACTGCAAGTGAGAGACGCTTCAGACGTGAAATGACTTGACAAAGGTGTGCACACACCATCTATCACTTCTAGCTGCTTTTGATCATTTTCTATGTAATCATCTCAGAAATCTGAGGTGAGTTGAAGATATTCTCCCCTTGATTTTTCTCAGCCTCTATCTTTCTTTCCAGTGGCATCAGACAGGCTACCTTCAATTCTACAAGATCCCCTCTGGCCAATAAATCCCATTTTCTCTCCATAGATGCAGTCATTAGCTTCTTAACATTTTCCCCCTTAAAGTGAGAAAATCTGTAGCAACTGTGCCCTGGTAATATCTTACTTAAAAGGAATAATGACTAAAATCTAAATTCTAGATGTCAAATATATCATTTGACTGAGAGAAGGATGTAAGATACACTCCAATATAAAAAAAGAAATCACAGATTTGAGCAAAGATCTGAGAATGATAATAAGAAATCTGACATGTTTTCTCTTAGGAAAATTAAATTAGCAAAGTCTCTTCCTGCAGATGGTAGAGATGTACTAACTATACATCATTACGTTAGCTACAATTACTATAGTAGTATTTGTAAGATATTCAATTGCTGATATCAATGTGTTACTAATAGTCTCTTTAGTTTTATATTCTCCATGAGAATGAAATTTCCATTTCATTAAACATCTGAATGTCAGGACACCAAAAACTGGGTTTTTAATTTCCAAATGGAAAAGGGTCTCATTGGGCTAAGTACTTGAAAGGTGTTTTGGAGAGCTCAAAATGACGCTTTGTGTGGTGGCACTCTGTAGTTCCTTAGGGCTTTCCTATTCACCTTAATGGAAATGCTACAATCTATCATATATTTTTGTATAGTCCTCAAGAAGGGCATAGAGAATAAAGACCAAATAATTTCAAAACAATCCTATTTGATCACACCACCAACCATTCATAGAGAATTGCATATAAAAACACAGGGTTAGCTTGGCCTCTGCCTAAGCAGATTCCAGGGAGGCTATATTAATAATCACCACTTAATGGGAACAACTATTCAAAGCCTCACTCATTGAAAAGAAAACAAAGCAAAACACTAAAGTATCTTACAGATGGTCTTCAAACCACTTTCAACACTTCCAGAAAACTCACGGCCGACACTGCTTAACAAATCTCGATTAGCCATCTGTAAACAAAAAGTATAGTGGTTAAAATATTTTCACACCTTAAAATGGAAGCCAAATCTTCAAAAGAAAAGCTCATACCCTGGAATAGGCCTCCATGGTAGCTTTCAGCTGAGGAAAGCTTCTTGTGGCAAGAATCATGTTAAAGCAAGATTCATCTGTCCCTAATTTCCCCTCACCAGCCTGATAGAGACGCTGAGCATCTTCCTGAGCCAGCTGGTGGTTAACATTCTGGTTCTCATCGCGATTTCCCTGCAAAAGAGGAAGGCAGGAATTAGAAGAAGGTGACACAAGTTCTATTAAAAAAAAAAATTTTTTTTCTGGGACTTCCTGGTGGTCTGGTGGTTAAGACTCCGCACTTCCACTGCAGGGGACAGGTCCCCATGACAGGGACACAGGTTTGATCCCTGCTCAGGGAACAAAGATCCTGCATGCCATGTGACAAAAAAGTAAAATAAAATTGTAAAAGAAAAAAAAAAGTTTTTCCAATCTAGTCACTTCTGGATTTAAAGGGACAATTTACTAAAAATTAATGCATAAAGTTTGTCACACTTATCTTTCATTTCCAAAGAAACTATACTAGTGTAACTAGTACTTTATTACACTGCCAACTTTGGATTTTATATGACCATGGTTTAATGAGGTTATATTAAAATGAGAGGTTTTCAGGGCTTTGAGAGCTAAATTAAATCAGAAAACGTTTCCATGAAAAATCACACACACACTTTATTTTTGAAAGTGTGGAAAATTTTATTAACATTCACTTTAAAAAGCTTTCTCTTGGTACACCAAGAGAAAGGGGTTCTTTAAAAAGTTACTCTTCAGGGTTTGGTCCTTGGTTTAGAAGTTTTGGGGTTTTTGTTTTTGTTTTTATTCAATAAACATTTATTAACAGGTATTAAGAGACTAGGCATGATAGAAACCACAAGGACTGGAAGTGACTATGGCCACTCCATTCCTCCCATTAAGGAGATAAAAGATGCCTCCACAGTGGGATTAGGGTTATAACTGAGGTCTCTGGGAATTAAGTGCGGGCTCAGAGCAGGGAATGACAAATGGCCCAGGAGAGTCCAAGAATGCTTCTCTGAGGAGGTGGCTTGAAGGGTGGTAATTGGGCCAGGAGAAACAGAATGGTGTGTGTTGAGACTGCAAAGTATGACACCTCCAGAGGCTGTGGCCACACACACAGACTCGTGATCTAGCAAGTCCTGAACACTAACAATGCAGCCACTTCTATCCTCCGGGAGAAAGCCTTCTGCCACCAAAGGAATTTCATTTTTCACTTCTCTTGTGATAGGGTCTAGTTCTATCGGTTCATGTTCTGAGCCAATAAGCACCGTCCCCTGTTCAGTTCAGAGAGAGAAGCACTGAGGTTTCCTGGAGGCTGGATATCCCTGAACTCCAGGGTCTGAAGTAACTTTAGATTTCTCATGATGAAGCGACTACTGAGCCACGCTGAGGACCTCCTCTAATAGGAGATATAAACTACCACTCAAATAAATTATGAGTCTGCTTACCTGGGATTTAAGATCAATATGCATTATACTGAGTTCCACTTTGTATTCATCCACATAACTATAAGGTATGGAGCACTTGCTTTGTACCAGGCCGTATTAGTCAGGGTTCTCCAGAGGAACAGAAACAACAGGATGTGCTAAGTGGTGGGGACACAAGAAAGACAGGGCCCCTCCCCTCAAGGAATTTAAGTCAAAGGAGGGAGTATATAATATGGAGGTTTCATGAACGCCCTTTCATTCATCCAAGTGTAATCTTAATATACAAGTATTTATTATGAATGTATACATGAAAATGACATGTGAGCCTTTTAGAAGAAGTTATAAATAACTCAAGTACTGCTAGCCTGTACCAATTTATAGACCAAACTCTTCACTGGGAAGAAGAGAGGGAGGGCCTGGGCCTGAACAAGAGTAAAGCTTAGATGGGTAGTTGGTTTCTCTCAAAAATATCAATAGAAACACAAACCCAAACAAAGGAAAGGCTGCCCTCTAGAGTCTCAGTGTCCGTCTGAGCAACAAAATGGAGAGGTGTTCCTTGAAGGTGAGAAACTGTCTCCTGAAGAGCACTGGGCACAAGGAATGTGTAGAAGCATATTCTAAATGGGCTACTGAATACAGCACAGGCAAAGGAGCTCAGGAACAACTCCCCAGATGATTGCCTTTGGATTCAAGCACACAATACAGTCCCATTTTCCTAGGAATAGGGACCTTTACTTTGAAAGATGGCTGGGCCTTGAACCCTGCATAAAGAAATATTCAGCACCTCATTAAAGTCTTAATAATCATTTTTTAGCATTAACTCTCTGGTCCTGATTTTCTTTTCATGATAACCTACTCCCCTGCTCTGTTACTCTGTTGTGGGTAAATTCAATGTCCTCCCATCCATTTGCTTTCTTTTCTCATTTCCATACCCATGCACTTTGGCACACTGTCTTTTCTGCAACTACCTCCCTTTGCTGTGAAGAGCCTCTCCTCTACTTTTAGAATCTTCAAGACTGTCCAACCTGTGCACTAGCAGGATAGCCAACAACTCCTGATACTGAATCAGTGTGCTAGTATTTTGCCTCATCTCTTTCAAATATACCCTGATTATCTCATTCTAAGTGTATTTGTAGTATCATTCCAAATACCCTATTTGGAGAATTTTCTGCCACTTTTCCAGCACATTTGGGGAATCAGAACAAGGAGGGTACTAAGCACAGTACCCACAGTACTAAGTACTGTGAACGCTGAAACATTTTCTGCATTTCTGGCTCTCCTCACAGTCCTCACTCTTGTAGCACTTGCATGGCGGACCTACATACCTTCAGTTGATGGTCCGACTTAACTGGCAGTACAATGCTAAGCTCAAAAGTACAGATTCATCGCCATTCTAAGACACAGAGCCTCAAGTTGATTTCTGATTTCACACAACCTTAAAGAGGTTAATTTCTGATTCCTTACAAAGGCCACATTTGCAGAAATAAATTTCAGTAGTGACTACAAAGAAACCTGTACAGTGGATTCTGCATTGTCCCTCTTAAAGATGTCAAGATTCCAAGGGGGCTAAATATTAAAAGGAATAAAGAATGGCCACTGGCAATAGGCAGTAAAAAATGTTCCCTCCACCAACACCCAAACTTTCATGCTATACTCACCTGGCACATGGATACAAGTAAACGTTCAAAATGCCCTGATGTATCTGACCTAATGTCCTTTTCAAGGTCTCGTCCAAATTCTGATTGATAACATCTGACAATTTCTCTGATTTCCTGATTTGTTCTTGTGCATAAAATTTCAATCAATACACGTTCCTGAGTTCCTACTCCCTATGTGAAGGGAAGAAAGGGAGAATTATACAACAAATCATGAAATTTCTGAAAGTAGTTAAATCTTACTGTTCCATCAAATATTTCTTTGGCCTCCAGACCTGAAAAGCTCTATATATTCAGATGATATAAAATAATGTACTGATTTAGTTGTCACTATAAATTCAGAACTGCCAAAGTTTATGGGGCTTTACATTTGAAATACGATAAAATACTCAAAGTAAATGCCATATAGTACCTTCATTGCATTCTGTAAACTCCAGGCATCATAATACGTAGGTGGCATGAACAGGGCAAGGATCAGTTCTTCCATATTTCCTCTTAACTCTGACTTAAGATCTTTGATTAAATCCTGTTAAATTACAAATACAAACTAAGTATATGTGCTCTCCAAATTTTGTTTTGCTTAAATTTTTTAAGGACAATATGAAAAAATGGAATTGAATTGCTATATGAAAGCCTCAATTGCTGTTCTGAATATTATATACTAAGGAATAAATATTTATTTTAAGTTTATTACACTCAAGCAGATATATTTTACTCATTCTATCAATAAACACTTAATAATAAATTTATTATAGTTCCACCACTACACTAGGTACAAAATAAGAGGTATAGGAAACAAAGAATAATTCAAATTAACAAAATGATAAACAGATATTTACTTAGTATAAGAAACTGTTCTTACTCTATGAGGAAATAGAAATTGTCATCATCGTGTTCTTATTTGAAAAGATAAGATAAACATTTAAAAAAAGTTAATATAAAGCAGCCTGTACTCCAGCACCAGATGAGTAAATAGCACAGAAATAAGCTGAAATAGGAAAAGTTAAAGTGGGCTAGAGAGCTCAGAGAAAACTTTTAGTCCAGATCTTGAAGAATATGTAAAAATTAGCAGGCAAAGAGAAAGAAGAAAGGTATTTCAGGCAAGGAGGAAGAACACAAACAAGGAACAGAAAAGTGGTTCCCAGCCTTGGCTATATGCATTAAAATCATCTGCAGAATTTTTCTAAAAAAAAAAAAACACAAACAACACTTATGTCAAGAATGAATACCCAGAGATTCTGCATGTGTTTTTAAGTTTGAAAAGAGATTATGATACTCAGCTAAGATTGAGAATCAACAGTATAGAGGCAAGAATGAGCAAAGCTTGTTCAATGGAACAACAAGACAACCAATTTTGTTAGAAGGTAATGTTTTCAGAGATTAGTAAAACAAAGTTGTAACTATATGCTTGGATTATTACCTTGAATACCAAGCTAAAGAGTGTGGATTTGATTCTGCATGTTGGGAGGAGTTGCTGGAAACTTTTACGTAAGAAAATGGCATTGATATAGCAACAAGAGGCAGTATCAACAGGCAGTACGGACTATGACGACAGAGGCTACAAATGAAATTTAGGCTACTGGAATATTTAGGTAAGAAGTAATAAAGGCTTGGACTTGAGTGGTGGAAAGAAAAAAAGGAGACAGAAGACACATTTTTAAAGAGCTCTTCTACAGATTAGATCCACAAGACATAGTCAATAACCAGTTGCTAGGACAAAGCAGTGCCTGGCATACAGTAGGCACTGAAACAATATTCACTGATTAATTGACAAAGAAGGGTGTGGAATCAAAGAAGACTCCAAGGCAGGCTAGAGGAATAGTATTTTTATTAATAAGAAGTCAAGAGAAAAGGTGGCTGTGGGTAAGGAAAATAGGCTGGGAATTTAGTTTTAATTCAAAAGTGCTGTATGAGAAAATTCAGGACAACAAAGCACAGACTACATGTGAACTAAAGAAATTCATAATGTGGAAAATACTTTTGTGAGAAAAGTGAGTCTGATGTTGAACCCTAAGAGAAACTAGAGTTTGTGTCACTTAATCAGCCTTAAGACTAAGGAAGTGGATTTTGGGTTGGGCAGGGAGGGTAGAAAAGATGAGATGGGACCAGCTAGTGGAACTCTACTTCCATTCTGAGAAAAGTAAACTGGATTCAGAGGATATCAGAAAATTTTTAGGACTCCTATCTAAATGGCAAACCAATGCTACCCAGTCTTGCCCTTTATATTTAAGAAACGATGACACCTTTCAGCCACAGAATCTTGCTGGATTTAGTCACTGATCATCCACTCAACAAATATTTAAGTGGCTATCTGTTAGTGTTCCTGTACTTGGTACTATAAATACAAAGATGAATATGACATGGTTTGCCTGATGGAAGCTCACAGTTTTGGGGAGCGGGCAGTGAGATTAGTTACAGCAGAGGTTTTACAAAGTGCTATGGGACCACAGTGGAAGAAGCAGCCAAATTATGCCCAGAGCAATGAGAGAAACTTCACAAAGTAGCTTAATCAAGACAAATCCTGGAGAATTTGTTTGCCATGCAGGAAAAAAGGAAAAGGTGTCCCAGGACAAGAGAACAACATACACCAAACACAGAAGTATGTGTGCAGGGAATGGCAAGAAGTTCTATAAAGTCATAATACAAGATATGCTTAGACGGAGGGAGAGGAGTGAAAGATGATACCAGGGACCAAAAATAAGCAAGGGCTACATAAGAAGTCTTTGAATCCAACCGTAAGGAGCAGATTGAGAACCAAGCTACTGATCAGGATTGTGGTCATAATCTACTTTTTACTGAACATGTGTCACCTACCAGACATAGTAAATAGGCATGACTGTGAGATCAAGGACTACTCTAGAATTGGAAAGCCTTCTAAGAGAAATAAATATTGATGGGACTTCCCTGGTGGCGCAGTGGTTAAGAATCTGCCTGCCAATGCAGAGGACACAGGTTCGAGCCCTGGTCCGGGAGGATCCCACATGCCGTGGAGCAACCAACCCCGTGCACCACAACTACCAAGCCTGCGCTCTAGAGCCCACACACCTAAAGCCCATGCTCTGCAACACGAGAAGCCACCACAATGAGAAGCCCACGTGCCCCAACGAAGACCCAGCACAGCCACAGATAAATAAATAAATTTATTTAAGAAAAAAGAAAGAAAGAAATATTGAATACACCTCTCCTGGGGTCTCTGAAATCTAGTTGTCTCTTCTTTGTACTCACCAGTACGAATAAAAAGATAGTATCCAACCTGATAGAATGCAGGGCATAAGGCCACTGTTCATGCTCACTCCTGAAAAGAAAACAAAACATACCTTGCCATACATGGTCTTAAAAGCTGCTTTAATTTTTTGCCTTTGATCATTGGAACGATTGGCCACAACGTCTACAATTGCCTGTTCGTCTGTACCTGAAAGAACCATACATGTCTAAGTAAGGATGAGGTCTGTGTGGGGTGCTCCTTGATGACATCTTTTAGATGCTTACAAGGTGTCTGGTGCCAGATTAAATTGACGGATGTGCACACAGGCTCACATATAAACTTGGTTTATGATATAAAGCTTATTTTTACTCTACATTCAATCACTTGAATTTGATTGTAAATAAGACAAAAATATGTTTTCCTCACCAAAACCCTTCATTGCTTTACGAAGAATTTCTGCATCTCTCATGGCATCGAAGTTGGCAGCAGGTTGGATTGTTCCTTGAGTTCCCTGAGTCATCGAAGCAGGCTGAGAACAAGAGGCATAAAATCCAAATCAGTTATTGTGGTAATCATTTCACAATACATACATATACCAAATCAACATGTTGTATACCTAAAACTAATACAGTGTTATATTTCAACTGGGTCTCAAAAAACTGGAAGAAAAATAATATGAAAAAATGTTCAACGTCTTTAATAAAAAAAATACTAACTTAAAAAAAAAAGCCAACTCCGGTTTCTCTGCTTACAGGAAGACAACTTAAGACTTCTCCAATTATGGGACTTCCCTGGTGGCGAAGTGGATAAGACTCCACACTCCCAATGCAGGGGGCCCGGGTCTGATCCCTCATCAGGGAACTAGATCCCACATGCATGCCGCAACTAAGAGTTTGCATGCCACAACTAAGGAGCCCATGTGCTACAACTAAGGAGCCAGTGAGCTGAAGCTAAGAAGCCTGCCTTCTGCAACTAAGACCTGGTGTGACAAAATAAATAAATAAATATTGGGGGGAAAAAAAGACTTCTCTGATCATCACTCTTAGGCAAGGAAGCCAGTACTTAGGTTTTAGGATAAGGATATTTATTTTCATGGCTCATTCTGGAACAGACAGAGACTATCCTTCTCCCACCAAAAGATAGTCAGACACCATACACTTGTTTCAGGAAACAAGACAGTCAAGCTTGTGAAGATAGTCACAATCTTTCCATGCCTTGGTTTCCTTCTTGGTAGAACAGGATGGCAAAAAAGAGATTGATCCCTGGGTAGTGTGAGTGGCAGTGTTTTATTTAAAGAATATGATAATGGCTTTAGTGAGGTAGAGCCAGACTTGCCCAATGAGATTTCAAACAAGCAATATACTTTTGGTAATAGCTCTTCATTTCCTGTATGGGCCCTGATTATTAGACATAAAATAAAACATTTTATAGTAAGAAAAGCATGAAAATGAAATTGATGACTACAGACTCTGCGAGTTACAATATTCTTCATCGATTTTATAAGGAAATAAACCAGAAAGCAAAACAAGGACTATATGTTTTTAAATACAAATCTATAAAGAAATTTAAAAATCACCATATGACAAAGACCACAGTACTAAGTGTTTCAGGCAAGAATCATCAATGGATGCTAAAATCAGTTGGTAAAAGTATAATGAGAACCAAGATATTTGCATACTTTGTAACATTACAGCAGAAAACCTAGCAGACATCATCTGAAGCAAATGATCAAAACCAATTATCACCAGGAATGGGGTAAATCAACAACTAGTGCCTCCTGATATGATTCACTAGGGACACGACATCATTTCTGTGGTATTCCTGCCAAAATGGCATAACCTAGATTTAATCAGGGGGACTTATCAGACAAACACAAATTAAGGAATATTTTACAAAATAACTGGTAGTATTCTTCCAATGTATCAAGGTGATTAACAACAAAGACTGAAGAATTATTTCATATTAAAGGAAAACTTAAGAGACATGACAACAAATGCAATGTTTCATCCTGGATTTGATCCTGAACCAGAAGGACATTACTGGGACAACTGATGAAGTCTAAAGGTTGGGTAATAGTATTATAAAACTGTTATTTCCTGTACTGTGTTTATGTAAGAATCTGAGTAAACTGTATGTATACAGGAATTCTGTATACAATTTTTACAACTTTTTTATAAGTCTGAAATTATTACAAAATTAAGTTTAAAAAATTTTAAATACAAAGCTATGAAACAATTCATTAGTTTTCTTAAAATATTCGAATCAGGGTTTAAGAGAGATGGGATACAGCAAGATGATATCCCTTCATACTTTTTTTTTTAATTTATTTATTTTTGGCTGTGTTGGGTCTTCGTTGCTGCACACGGGCTTTCTCTAGTTGCGGCGAGCAGGGGCTACTCTTCGTTGCGGTGCGCAGGCTTCTCACTGCGGTGACTTCTATTGTTAATGGAGCATGGGCTCTAGATGCGTGGGCTTCAGCAGTTGTGGCACACGGGCTCAGTAGTAGTGGCTCACGGGCTCTAGAGTGCAGGCTCAGTAGTTGCGGCGCACAGGCTTGGTTGCTCTGTGGCATGTGGGATCCTCCCGGACCAGGGCTCAAACCCGTGTTCCCTGCATTGGCAGGTGGATTCTTAACCACTGCGCCACCAGGGAAGTCCCCCCATCACATTTTTTAAAATTTAATTTTAATAATATATTTTATTTAACCAAGTATCTCTAAAATATCATTTAAAGATGCAATCAACATCATTTCAAAACATAAAATGATTCAGTTGCTTTCTAGGCAACTGAAATGGTATTTCGAGTTATACCCATTGAATACAGCAACAGCAATATGCCAACCAATATGCCCCTTTGTAGGGGCAAAGTGACTGGGGAGAAGGAGACCAGACCCTTCGACAAACATTTTTATGGTCGGTAATTCCTCCCACTCATCTCTACTCTCACGCCAACATTTTCTTCTACCAATAAGCCCTAACAATCATCCTTCAGTAGTTTCTAAGCCAGGAATGTAAGCAGAGAACTAACAAGAAATATTTGTATATTGGTTTTAAGGAAAAACTAAAATTATTCTACTTGTAGCAAATATTCAAGCAGAAAAAAATTTTCAACATATTGCCTTTACATGAGGCTTAATGTATCAAGCACTGATGAAAGTTTTCTTTGATGTAACCATTGTCACTAAAATCCTAAGCAGGGCAGAAGCCTCTGTTTATAATACACTGAACTAGACAGTAAGAGAAACTAACCCTCATCATGCACTATTTGACGACTATCATTTTCTGTCATCCTCTTGTTTCTAAAAACGAACAACCACCAAAAGACTTATTCCATTTTTCATCTGGAGGGAAAAATGGTTTTGTTTTATTCTTTGTTGAAAGTCTTAAGTTTGAAGTGAATCTTCATCAAGAATACTATCATTCTGCAGGCATTATACTGAACTCAAAGAAATCAGGGTCTATATTCTTGAGGTCAAAACTCTAACTACAGAGGATTTCTCAGCACAGCAAAGCCCATACTATCTGCCACCAAAAGTGCCACCCTTTGCCTTCCATTTCATTCCAATCCTGCTGAAAAACTGCCATAGAATTAGAATTGGGTCAATCAGGAGAGGTCACCTGGCCCCAAGACAAAAACTTTCTTTACATCTTCCTACACACACACACACACACACACCAACTTCTATCAGGGGATTTTCAGTGACAGGGAGCTCACCCCTCACAAGGTAGTCTATTTCACTTCCATCTATTCCACTTTCCATCTCCCAAAATCTACTGCTCTGTAACTTCCTGGTTTCAATTTAGGGTCGTAATTGTTATGCAAGATAAGCTGCACGTGTATGTGTGTTTTACTTTTAGTGTTTTTATGTTTAAAAATCTTTTCTATTCAGTCATAAAATGATGTCTTTAAAAGCAAATGCATGCTTAAACTAAACTAAAATAAAAATTCTCATAACAAATGATTAGAATAACTACAGATTTATAATATGATTAATAATCAGCAATTTTTTTAAAAAAGGATTGAAAGCAATTTACTATGGGCTTTGGAGGAATATCATTTACTGTATCAGCAAAGTAGCACTGTATAACAGAGACCACTGGTCTGAGAGGCAGAAGAGCTAGGATCTAGTCTCAGCTTTGACTTTCACTAGCTGTGTGGCCTCTCTGGAGCTCAAAAATTCCTCAAATCTGGAAAGGAAGCCAGAAAATGGCTAAGTTGTTTTTCTTCCAATTCTGTAACCCCTTACCAATCCCAGCCTAAAAAAAGCTTTAAAATGCTAGATCTTTATGAATAGACAATATGAAATGAGAAAATCAAGATAAGGTAAACATAAAACTGCTTATGTTCCTAGTAACTTGCATAGGATATAAAAGAATTAACAAGTCAATTAAAGAATAAAACTTAATATTAAAATAAGGAGCTATATTGAGATAGGGCAAAGATTTGATATACGGGAGACCTTCTGAGACTCCTGAAAAATCAATTTAACAGACATTAATTGACTACTGTATTTAAAGCCCTGCCAAGCACTACAGGGACATAAAGATAAAAACAGATACAATGAGCCCTCAAGGAAGTGGTGAGAGACAAATACAGGAGAAATTAGAAACAAATGAAGGCATATATAGGAGATCTAGTGATTAGTGAACATTAAAAAACCTTACTCACTTCACTGCTATAATCCACAGAAACAGGAGAGAAAACAGGATAGGAAGGTAAGGATTCTGTATTGATCTGAAAGAAGAGTGGAAAGTTATAAAAGTAAAAAAGGAAAACAAAACCATACTTCATAAAACACTGCCAGAAATATCAACCACCCAGTCACCTGAGTTCATAGTTATACTGCCAGCAAGGGAGGAGGAAAAAGAACTAAAATCAACGCCAAGAGTCCAAGTGAATCACTATGAAAAAGAGTATGGGTGTCATCACCTGTGAGAAGGGACCTATGTTTGTCTTATTAAAGTCATCAGGACAGTACTTAAAAACAGGTGGACCAAAGAGCATGGAGTCTAACAGAAGCAAAGATTAAAGTCTTAAGTGAACTGTTTTAGACCATCTCCTCTGCTTCATGGAAACCTCTAATGTTAGCAAAGGAGTAGTGCCCTTCTTTAGCATTATCCAGTTACCCAGACTAAATTTAAAAGGTAGGAAAAAAAAAAAATACCTGACTAGGGTAAGGAGATTGTCCTCCAGAGTACTGAGAAGGCATCGGTCCCCCAGGAAAACCACCTACATATTAAGAAAAAATACAGCAATCAGGTCTTAACTGATTTAATTTTTCAAAACAGCACTGATTTATTATGAATACGGAAACATATGAGAATATTCACACTATTTATTCACTAGGATAATTTTTAAGTTTTATAATTTACTGAATCAAAAACCAACTTTGGTCACAAGGACCTTTTAAAATATTCCATGTCCTAATTTCTTTAAAATAATTTAACATAATTTCTTTATAAACAATACTCTAAAAAAAGAACAAAACACTTGAACCAGATTAAATTCTGATTCCATCTGGAAAGGATGACAGGACATAGTTCTGGGGGTTGTTTCCTTTGTGCTATACTAATGAGCAGAGAAGTTCCTGAAGGTTTTGCTTTTTGGCTTCAGGACAGATCTTTTTTTTTTTGATTGAAAAAATAGGTCCTTATTACCATCTTGCTGATTAAACTTTTTCATCAAATTAATACACTTCATGAAACCATATACTACCTAAGAAGTATTTAGTATAAACTTTTACTAAAGACGATCCCAACCATAAACTACTAAGTTCCTTCAACAGCAACTGCAAGATTCAAAATATCAAGCTACTGTTTTTCTCTGGACAGTTAGTACATACCAGGTAGTGGGACCTGGGATGGGCCCCCACCATAAGACTGTGAGGGTGCCTGTGGATAGCCAGAAAAGCCTGCTCCACTTGGTGGGGCTCCAAACCCTTGGCCTGGAGGGAGAACAAGAGAAAAAAAGAAACAAACTACAGTGACAGTTCTCATGATTGAAGTGAAAACTTTAGAAACAGTAGAAAATATACTATTAATGCTATAGCAGTAGTCCCTTTTGGTCTAAATTCAATTTCTCAACAAATCCTTCCCCATTAAAAAATAAATTAAAAAAAAAGGTTACTTCATTCATCTGCCTTAATAACTTATAATACAAAAGTGCTAAGATTTTTGTTTGTTTGGTTGGTTGGCTTGGTTTTTTACATACTGTGGACAAAGCTGTCCTAAGGTCACAATCATGCCAAATGAAATATCTTAATCAGTTCTTAAGATTACAAATTATCAACCAAACCATTATATATTGGTCCTTTATTACCATGAGATTTATTCTAATTCCTTTCACAACAGAGTTTTGGAGACTGCTCCCAGCTTTCATGCCTCCTGAGAACCTTTATCCTTCTATCTTGCCAGCTAGGTCCTTACTGTCTAAGGTAGAAAGTAGGCTAAGAGCAACTCTGACCTCGTACAAAACAAGAAGGAACCGAGAGGATTAAAGAGAGAAGAAAAAAAATGCTATACTAATTCCACAACCCAGGACTCACCTCCAGGATAGGATGGAGCTCCCCCTGGCTGTGGGGCACTGGGATAGCCTCCAGGGGCAGGGTAGCCTCCAGCTCCTGGGTAGCCTCCAGCTCCTGGGTAGCCTCCAGCTCCTGGGTAGCCACTACTTGGTGTTGGTGGGTAGGCACCTCCTCCCACTGGAGGAAAGCCACTAGGATAAGAATACTGACCAGGAGGAGGAAAAGATGACTCCTGACCTGCAGGCTGAAAAACCAGAAAAATTTTCAAATGAATGTGATCACCAAGAAATAGAACCTAGCTAAGGAAACAAACAAAGATAACTATTAAGGTCTAGCTTATTCTTTTACATATTAAAAAGCCCATTAGAAGTCCTGGTATCTCATACTAGTTTATCAGTATACTAGTTTTTCAGGACACGTTTGTCAGAATTCAGTTATATATAAATCTACCTGTGTTAGGCAGGAAGAGTCTGTTTCTCTATTTGGGAGTAAGAACCAGGCTCTTTCCAAACCTCAAGCCTTCAGGAACAACTAGCAAAGCTCATTAGTTCCTTCATTTTCCTAGCACCTGGAAATAATAGGAAGATTTGCCTCTCTACCCTAAAGAGAAGAATTCATGGCTTTCTTGCAACACATCTGGACCTGTGCATAACAGGGGGAAAAAAATAAAAAGGTGACCTGAGTCATACACTGGGTGTGACATTTTGGACCTCAGTTCAGATCACACAATGTCTAAGTGTGGAGAGACTGTTACATGTTCACTAAACTTTTTCCCAGGCCACAAAACTAGACTACATTTCCCAGGACCCCGTTACAGTTAAATAGGACCATAAACGAATGTGGACAGAAGTAACATACACGACTTCCAGCCTGGTCCCCTTAACTTTCTGCCCAATCCTCTAAGCTCTCTCTTCCCCTCTCTTTTCCTTCATCTGCCAGCTGGAAGCAGAAGATCCAGTGGAGGACTCCAAGGCACTAGAGGATGGTAGAGCCAATATACCAAGGCAACAGAGGATGGAAGGAGCCTGGGAACCCGCAAGACGACATGGAACAAAGCCTCCTAGCTCCCCACCACATCCTTCCCCCGGCCACCCCCACCACTGACTTCCAGGAGACTGAAGTAAGCAAGTAATAAGTTTTTATTGCTTTAAGTCATTGGGATGTTAGGGTTGTCTGTTTTAACAATTAGCTGATATTGACTGAAATGGTGGTCAGAGTCCAGTTTAGTACATAGGGACCTGGGAACATATTCATAATTCTCATCTCTTCGATGATAAATTCAGGAGAGCTATATATTCACTTTACATAAGAATATACACATTATCATTAATCTGTATAGGCCCCTCTTTCTATTCTCCCAGAGTTAGAAAGAAGCCCTGCATACTTATGAGCATAAAATTGAAACACAATTCTCACTTACGCCTCAGCTATGAGGTTAGTCCTCAGAACAGTATAGACATCAACAAGGCAGAACTTGGTAGCACATTTATAACATGCACTCCAAATACTGAAAGTCTCAGAAGTACTAATCCAGGGACCTCTAATCCACTGCAATTTGTTACCTATGAGTCAAGCTCCTCTTAAGTTTTTTTTTTTTCAAAGATGTTGGGGGTAGGAGTTTATTAATTAATTAATTAATTTTTGCTGTGTTGGGTCTTCGTTTCTGTGCGAGGGCTTTCTCTTAAGCCCCCTCTTAAGTTATTTTAAATCTTCTAACACAAAGATTAAAAACCAGTAACTCAGGACTTCCCTGGTGGCACAGTGGTTAAGAATCCGCCTGCCGATGCAGGGGACACGGGTTCGATCCCTGGTCCGGGGAGATCCCACAAGCCGCTGAGCAACTAAGCCCGTGCGCCACAACTACTGAAGTTGGCGTGCCTAGAGCCCGCGCTCCGCAGCAAAAGAAGCCACCATAATGAGAAGCCCACGCACCACAACAAAGAGTAGCCCCTGATCTCTGCAACTAGAGAAAGCCCACGCACAGCAACGAAGACCCAACGCAGCCAAAAATAAATAAATACTTTAAAAAAACAACAACAAAAAAAACCCCAGTGACTCATAGGATCGATTTAGCTTACCTACATGTTGTACTGAATCATACAGCATTTAACATTTTAAAATATTCATTTCCCAATTTTAAAAATTGGGCAATTTCACATAAAATCCAGATTGTTGGCTTTACTTGAAGATATGGAATTATCCAGCAACACTGGGTCAGCCTCCCTGCATGGACACATGCGGCTTAACCTAACTGCTGCCTTTCCACAGGTGAGCCAACTCCCTGTAGTTCCCCACAACACCTGCCTTCACTCATGAACTCTACTCAGTACTTCTGGCCATTTGAATTTATGACCCCTGCTCTAGCATATTTGTAAGATCTGTCATGGGCTGGCTAGTTCTATACAAGATCTGTGCCAAGGACATGAGCTATTTTAGTATCATAAGTGGCAATACTTACAGGATATCCAGGGAAAGCTGGGTAGCCTGTGGGGGGATAGCCCGGGTACGACATTCTGTAACAACAATAAAAAATGTCTTCTGTAATTTCCTATAAAGATTAAGGCCTTTGAAGATATATTTTGTCATAGGGTTTAATCAAAACACACCTTCTTTCAAAAGAGTCTAGCAGGCAGACTGATTCAGTAGTTCTGAGATGGGGCCCAAGATTCTGTATTCCTAACTAAGCTTCCAGGTGATGCTATTGCTGCTGGTCTGTGAATGATATTTTGATACCAGAATATTTTGGCATTTCTGAATCTACCACCTGATTTGCCAAATTTTTCAATATGTGTTTTGGCTCGTCTCCCCAATACAGCTATAAATGATTTGTATTTCTTTTTTATTAAGACCCCAAACAATGACATATACACACTACTATATATAAAACAGATAACTAATAAGGAGCTACTTCATAACACAGGAAACTCTACTCAATACTCTGTAATGGCCTGTATGAGAAAAGAATCTTAAAAAGCGTCAATATATGTATATGTATAACTGATTCACTTTGCCATACACCTGAAATTAACACAACATTGTAAATCAACTATACTCCAAAAAAAAATTTTTTTAATAAAGGACCCCAAACAAATCCAGTTCAACACTTACAAAAGCCCACTATTTAATAAGCACTGTCCTAGGTGCTGATACAGAGATGCGGGGGGTGGGGGGAGGAAAATGAGAAAATAAATTTAAGTTATTATAGTGCTCCTTATGACATAAGCACAGTATAGAAGCTAAAAACTTGCTAAATTGAGAATGAATGGGCATATATTTAGTCGAAGTTGAAAGAAAATAAGAAAACTGATCCAGTCAGTTTTAAAACAGTCATTTGGAATCCAAAGACCTGGATGCAAAGGACGTTAAATCATTTTTTGCTGTCTTCTTCCCCAAGCCCAGTTGATAAAAAAAAGGAGTAAAGGAGAAACAATATCATCCAAGAACAGTCAGATGGACCAAGGGTAAAAGAGGTCAGGGTCAAAATAAAGTGAAAAAGTCTGAAAATAATTTATGGGAGAAATTAATAATTATTTTATTTATTTATTATTATTATTTTTTTTCGGTATGCGGGTCTCTCACTGTTGTGGCCTCTCCCGTTGCAGAGCACAGGCTCTGGACACACAGACTCAGCAGCCATGGCTCACGGGCCCAGCCACTCCGTGGCATGTGGGATCCTCCCGGACCGGGGCACGAACCCGTGTCCCCTGAATTGGCAGGCGGACTCTCAACCACTGCACCACCAGGGAAGCCCAATAATAATTTTAAAGGCAACAAGTTTTATAGCACCAAAGACTACAAAAACAATTTAAATTTCTAAATCTCAGGAACTGTTCCAGTGACAAAGTCCTATTTCTACAGCCTTTAGCTACTACATTAAATCTTACCTTTAAAGGCACTAGAGGAATTACGTCAACAAGAGTTTCTGAACAGAATGAAGATAAAGACTATCCGTACATGAGAAAACTTAAAGCAACTTTAAGAAAATGAATCTGGGTACATTTTGAAGTATAATTATATAAAGGACTAGAATGCAATTCTATTTCCAGGATGTACCTCATAAAAATACTTACACAAGTGCAAAATTATATACGTACAAAGCTATTCATTACACACTATTTGTAATAGAAAAAGGTTGGGAATTCCCTGGCAGTTCAGTGGAGAGGACTCAGTGCTTTCACTGCCATGGGCTGGGTTCAATCCCTGGTCAGGGAACTAAGATTCCACAGGCCAAGTGGCATGGCCAAAAAAAAAAAGACGGTTAAAAACAATCTAAAAGTCCATTAATAAGGAACAGGTAAAACAGATTATGGATAGCCATACAATGAAGTGTTAGGCAACTATTAAAAATGAGCAGCTCTCTTTTTACTCATATGTGAAACCACTCTAAGTCATATTAAGTGGGAAAAAAGCAAGATGAAAAGCTACATAGATAATTTGCAACCAAATGTGTAAAAATTACATTTATTTGCTTGTATATGGAGAGAATATCCCTGAAAGTATACTCAAGAAAGTAGGAAACAGTACTCCACTGCTGCCTCTGGAGAGGAGAGCTGGGGCATAACAAGGAGACTTTTCAATGTACTAGAAAAAAGGGCTAAGTGTCCTTTTGGAATTAGGCATGTATCATCTATTCAAAACGCAGATTGAAAAAGCTTTTGTAAAAAGCTGAAACAAACCCGAGTTTGGTGACTCAACAAACTACTCAACTTTGCCCAAGGAATAATCAGACTATACCAGTGAACCAGAACTTTTATTTCCTTTTCAACATCCTCTGTCAGCAACTACTTTTAAAAGACTAGAAAAGCATTCTTGGTTTTCCAAGCCATCTCCACCCAGTGAGTCAACTACTAAAAGGGGTGGGTCTCACTATTCAAGTCTCAGAGATGGCATGAAGCCCAGGAACACAGGAGGCAGCTGTTGCAAATTTATGAAACACAAAATAGAAAGGGTGTATGAAGATGGCCAACAGCAGATACTACAATTTTCCAAAACCTGCCTCTTGATTGGGAAAGACCATTTAAATCTGTCAGCAAGGGCCCTTCAATAAAGAATTGGAGGCACGACTAGGCTCTGCATGGACAGGGTAGGCAGTCACCACCAGTGAGGACTGAAAGGAGGCTTCACTTTGCAGTAGTCAAAATTCTCTCTTCTACCTCCCTATCTAGTACTTGAACTCCTTCCCTGCCTGATAGGTAACTCATTACACTCATTATCTAATTAGGACAGATTATCAGATCAGCTCCCCACCAGCTGGCAGAAATTAGAGAGTTTAAAGACAGTTGGACGACTTCTTTTCATTTCTGTCACTTTATGGTGGACATCAGCCATCTCCTTCTGTAGAATTGTTCACACAGGTTGGGCTCAAATCAGCACACGTTTGCTGCTGCTAAGGTACTAGGAATCAAATCTGGAATGCCACTTCCCTGAATAGTTCCCAAAAATTATAAACCTGAACCAGTGTACAGTTTTAGGCTTCCGCATTCTGTCCTAGGTTCACTAAGCAAGTACAAACGTCCCAAGTTTCCCTAAATTTGCTGTGTCACCAGGAAGTCTAGTCACCAGCCGGACTTAGCTTTCGGTGCTGCTCACCGGTTTTCCTACTCAGCCCTCCTTGGGGTAGCTTCAGCAGGGCCATCCTCTGGCCTCAACCCCTCCACCTGTGGTCCACCTGCCTGCGCGGGAGGCCCCTCGGGCAGTGAGCTCCCTCGGACCTCCGGACAGCCAAGGGGCACAGACGACCGGCGAACAGGACTTCCCGTTGCCCGGCCGCCTCGCCGATCCCGCCCTAATGCGCCCCCGCCCGAACGCCCCCACCAGGCAGCCCGGGTCCCAAAACGCGCACACCGAGTCGCCGGCCCCCCCCGGGGCCCACAGGCCCCCCCCGCCCCCCCCCCCCCCCGGCTCGTGGACACACGCGGGGCCCCGCCCTCTCCCGGCTGGCAGGCCTCAGAGCAGGCCGGGGCGAGGCGACCGAGGGGGACGAGGGGTGGCAAGGGTAGGGTACGCCGTTCCTCACCTGACCCGGTGGAGCAGCGTCTCGTCCCAAACTGATCTCGGGCAAGATGGAGCCGGGGGCGGGCCCGGGAAGGGCGGGGCGCCGAGGGCCGCCGCCCGAGGCCGTTAGGATCGCAGGGGGCGGTGCCGACAGGGCCAGTCCAGGCGGCTGTCGGTGCCGCTGCTCCGGCGTTCCCTTCCGCCCCGCCTCGCCGCTCCACCCGCGAGAAGACGCTCTCTTCGGATGCACCAGCCAGTTTTATCACAGTTCTTTCTGGGCTCTCTCAAGCCATTTGGGAAGTTGAAGCCGTCCTGAGGAATCCCGAAGCCCCTTCAGTGGTGGGCGGCAAAGAAGGGCTCGAAACTGGGAGGCCAGGGGCAGCCTCTCCGCCTGATGCGCCGTCCTCCCTATCTTCTGAGGACAAAGACGGTGTCTTTTATTAGTCCCTTGTGAATTGAATTAATATTTATGAGGCTCCTAGATAGTGGGAACACGAGATGCACTAACCAAAACCACTCCAGACGGGAGTTGTTAGGTGATTCCAGGCTCCCCTCACACTAGAGCCCTACCATTAAACATTTGAGGCAATTTCAAGGGCCCAGACCAGTATCTTAAACTCATTAAGAAAGTTTATATTCCAGAGCAAAGAACCAGTTGGCTACCTTTTACAGTGGTTCTCAAACTGTGGTCCCCAGACTGGCAGCCACCACATTACCTGGTAACTTGTTAGAAATGCAACTCATTGGGCTCCACCTTAGACCTAATGAATTAAATTCTAGAGATGAAGCCCAGCAATCTGTTTTAACAAGCCCTCCACGTGGTTCTATGCACACTAAAGTTTGAGAACTATTAACCTATTACCCCACATGCTTTTCTACCCAAAAGCTTCCTCATGGGGGTGGGATAGGGTGGATTAAATTTTTAAGTGGCAAAAGCAAGATATACATGGCCCTAAAACAGGGGTGAAGTGGAAGGTACTTGAGAAAGGTCACTGCCAAATTTAAACAAAACTGCACAACACTCTGGATACCCAGCATTAATTCCCCAGCTCTCACCAATCTGTCTGGAAAATATTGGGCCTTTCTGTCCAATCTGCCTGGAGACCTCTGGAATTTAAGCATTCCCTAAGAAGCCTGTCCTTACTCCTTTGCTCTATATTACTACCTCGGTGATCTCATCCCCACCCTTCCCTCTGCCTTAACTATCAGCTTGAGAGGTTATTTTCCAAACCTCCTATTTCCCGCCCACTTTCCTGAGCTATAGGCCCAAATATCCGATAGTCTATTCAGGTAGATACCACTAGATTTCCCACTTCATCCTTTCAATTTGTCCTTCTTTCTTGACATACAAGGCCCTCCAGGGCCAGAGACCCTTTCCTCATGCTGCCTCTGCCTAGAAAGCACTGCCCGCCTTTTAACAATTATGAATCTATTAAGACTCAATTCAAAGATCACCCATCTCCTTCCTGCCTCAAGAAGCTTTTCCTGACCTTCTTTTCTTTACCTTCCCTTGGGTAGACTCCCTTTTTTGCACACAAGAAAACCTTTTATAGATGTCTGCTGTGACACATTTAACAGTAGTCATGTGCTTCCCTGGTGGCCCAGTGGTTAAGAATCCGCCTGTCAATGCAGGGGACACGGGTTCGATCCCTGGTCCAGGAAGATCCCACATGCCACGTAACAACTAAGCCCGTGTGCCACAACTACTGAGCCTGCACTCTAGAGCCTGCAAGTCACAACTACTAAGCCCACGAGCCTAGAGCCCATGCTCCGCAACAAGAGAAGCCACCGCAATGAGAAATCTGCGCACTGCAACGGAGTAGCCCCCACTCACCGCAACGAGAGAAAGCCTGCGCGCAGCAACAAAGACCCAACGCAGCCAAAAAAAAAAAAAAAAAAAAAAAACCAGTAGTCATGCACATGAGTATTTAACTTGCCTGTATTCAACCACACGAACTTAGCAAAAACAAAACACCTCTGAAGGTCATCATATGCTCCAGAGTTCACATAAAATAGGAGACATTATGCTTCTTCTAATGTGAATATTCCACTGTGTTTAAACACACATACTGGACTTCCCTGGTGGTCCAGTGATTGAGACTGTGCTTCCAATGCAGGGGAGCATGGGTTCAATCCCTGGTCAGGGAAGTTCTGCATGCCAAGCAGTGTGGCAGCAAAAAAAAAAAAAAAAAAAAAAAAATATATATATATATATATAAATATATATATATAAAAATAAAAAAAACACACATACGTTTTGTACAGACAGAGCAGTAATTTTGTCCCCAAAGGGACATTTGGCAATGTCTGGAGACGTTTTTGGTTGTCACAACTAGGGAGGAGGGTTTTACTAGTATCAATGGGGAGAGGCCACGGATGTTACTAAACATTCTACAATGCACTGGACATCCCCCTACAACAAAGAATTATTCAGCCTGAAATGTCAGTAGTACTGAGGTTAAGAAACTCTGAGTTAGACTAATCTTCCTAAATAACGGATTTGGTCATATAATTCCCTTGATTAAACTCCTCCACTAGCTTCCCACTGGAACCAGAATAAAATCCAAACTCCTAGCCACGGTCTATTAAGCCCCATATAATCTGGCTACTGCCTACCTCTCTGATCTCATCCCTCTTCACCTTCCTTCTCAAGCACCAAACTCTGGTCAAAATGGCCTTCTGTCTAAGCATACCAAGCTTGTGACCAAACACACCAGAGATTCCCAGGATCTTTACACTTGTTATTGCTCCTATTTGCAATGTTCTCTATTGCATGTTACATCTCAAATGTCATCCATCTCCGCAGAGAGGTATGTATTCCCTGAACATTGTAGCATTAGTAGCCCCACTGTCACTAACACCACTACCAGTTATACACACTAATTACCCTATTTAATTTTCTTTGTAGCACTTAAAAGCATATAAAATTCTGTATTTACTGTTTGTCATCTCCCCCTGCTGCCCTCGGAATGTACACTCCTTGAGAACAGAGATATCTCTAGAGTCTAGAAATAAAATGTTCAGTAAATACTTGGTTGACTACAACAGGGCCCCCCAGACTCAAGCCAATTATTTCATCCAGTGATCAACTAAATAAACAGAGGTCTGTTTCCAATAGTGGAGGAAATAACTGGCTCTGATAGACTTGTTGAGATAAGGATATGTTGGAATCCACAATGGAGTGTTATCCTAAGGGAATTTCAATGTAGCTTTGAAAATACAGCTTTTTCACTTCATATGCTGACTTTAGAAAATGTAACTCATTATATTGCCCCTGCTTAACATCAGTCTTTTATTAAACTGTAAACACTCTAAGGGTAAAAGCCATTTGGAATCCTCAGCATTTAGCATGAAGCTAAGGCACTTTTATGTACTGTCACCACCACTCTAAGCTGGAAATTTTTGTGTCACCTGTTACTGTGTGGTTTCTGTCTCCTGATTAGACTCTGATAGATATATCACATTTCACCCAAAACAATCAGTAATTAAGCCCTATAGATTTTACTTTCACATTCTAGCTACAAAATATTATCTACCTGTTTACTTTCCTTGTTATAGCTAGACCTCTTCTTTTCCCTAACTACTACCATTGGCCACTTTAGCTGATACATGCATTACATCATCTGAACCACAAAAATGGCATTCTGACTGGTTTTTCCATTGTCGAACCCTCTTGCTCAGTAAGTTCAATCTATTTATGTTACTGAATAATATTCAAAGTGGTATGTATTCAATAATAGCTACCATTTATTAAATACATACTATATGCTAGACACTGTTAAGCACTTAACAAATATTCTCATTTTTTACACTCTGATTTAAAAAACTGTTTTTCGTAACAGCTTTATTGAGATATAATTCACTGATGTAAAGTGTACAATTCAATGGTTTTTAATATATTCAGAGTTGTACCATCACAATTTTAGAACATTTATATCACCCCAAAAATAAAGCCCATACACTTTAGCCATCATCCCCAATATGCTCACCATCCTCATCTCTATGCTGCCACTCATCTACTTTCTGTCTCCATAGATTTGCCAACTCTAGACATTTTATATAAATGCACTCAGACAATATGTGGTCTTTTATGACTGGATTTTCACTTAACATGAACATGGATGAGCGTATTTTCAAAGTTCATCCATGTTGTAGCATGAATCAGTACTTCATTCTTTTCTATGGCCAAATATTTCATTATATGTATATGCCACATTTTGTTTATCTATTCACAAGTTGATGGACGCTTGGGTTATTTTTACCTTTTGGCTATTATGAATAATGCTGCTGTGAACATTTGTGCACAAATATTTTCATTTCTCATGAGTACACACCTAGGAGCAGAATAACTGGATCAAATGGTAACTTAATGTTTAACTTCTTGAGAAACTGCCAGACTGTTTTCCAAAATAGCTGCACCATTTTACATCCCTACTAGCAGTGTATGAGGGCTGCAATTTCTCTACATCCTCGTTAACACTTGTTATTATCTGTCTTTTTTATTGTTGTCATCCTAGCAAAAGAAGCACTTTCTTTCATTGTGGTTTTGATTTGTATTTCCAGATGACTAACGATGTTGAGCATCTTTTCATGTGCTGATTGATCATTTGTATATCTTCTTTGGAGAAACATCTGTTCAGATCATTTGCCCACTTTTAAATTGAGTTATTTGTCCTTTTATTATCGAGTTGTAAGAGTTCTATATATATATATTCTGGATGTAAGTGGAGAGGCTGAGGTCACAGCAAGTTGTAGAAATGAATATCTAGGGAATATCCTAATCCTGAGAGTGTGATAAGAGAAGGATGACAATAGACAGGGTGTGGTAGAATGGCAGACCCAAACAGAGAGCTGATGTTAATCACTCCTTTGGCAAGAGAGAAACCTCCAATCTTGAGATGTTCTGTGTAGACAAGTAACACTTGGCAGTGAATAGGAAATAAGATAAAACAAGTGACTTAAGAAGCCCCAAACTGAGTTTATTGTGGTATAGACCAGGCGATAACAAACTCCAGTGTATTCAAGTAACCCTGATACACCCTGGGATACCTAAAATACAACACAAGGGCAAAAAGCTGCTCTAAAATTAGAAGTCCCCAAGAGAAAATAGGAAAACGAGACATGTATCTCGAA